AACGTTGGGATAGAAATAGTTCAAGCTGAAAAAGGGAAAAACGAAAACTAGATAAATCGTTTTTGGTTTCTTAAACCGACCTATTACATCAACAGACACATTAGGTAATAGTAGTTAAATACGAAGGTAGAAAAATAAGTTATGCTTTAACTTTGAATATGCTTCTCATATATTTCAGTTCAACGTAGCACTTTCAGAATCACATACATTCGGAAACCCCTTATATATTGCCTGGGGTTAAGCCATTCGGAATCCTTTTGCCTCTTCATCTTTTAAAGTAGAAGGGGCACATAGAGAAATATCATCTATATAATCGCTCTCAGCGGGAAGATATAATAAAATTTGCTTCATAAGTTTTGGGGAATATTTCAGATCTAACATCATTATATATTAATTAACATATATTTTAAGCACTAATACACAAAAACAAACTGCTGCCAATGACAAACTCAAAATTAGATGAAACAAATGAAATACTGTGGATGAATAATGATAACATGAATATGACGAACGTGCTCGAATGGAAAATGAATGATTAAAAATCAATAACAATATTTAAACAACAACAAGAAAGGAAACTTCAAGTTTTTTTCTCTTAATTATCAATAATTTAGAGACATTTAACTTTAGAATTAAATTTTTTAAACTGGTAATAATTTGCAACTGAAACAATTGACTTTAAAGCAATCTATATAACTCTGATCATTGCACGCCATGGATCTAGCACCAATAAGTGACACGACCAAGACTAGAAATTGTGTTAGATAGATTTTTGTGCCATTTTTTGCGTCATGGACCTTTTTATAAAGACCGTTTAAGAGAGTTACATATATATACATGTAACAAAACATTAATGCCTGAAAAAATCTTTTAACATAATTTCTTAGGTCGTACACTTCTGTAGTCTTACACCCACAGTGTATCATCACAAGGATATATACTATATATAAGTAGTATATACTCTGTATATATCGCAATCCGGACCAAGGAAAGACAACAAAATTAAAGCATTTGATCTATATAACAATTTTCACCGGATTCCCTGATGCTGATCAACACACATTTTAAAAATTGATTTAAAGTTTAACTCCATAATTGAGCATAAGACATCTGAGTTACATTGATATTGTTCGTCTCTTTGGAATTTATATATTCCATGTGTTTCGTAGCGTGTTTGAATGAATGATCTGATGAATGAATGTTTGTAAGTCTTTGGATCACAAAATGTCAACAGCCTCGTTTGAATTAACTGTTTATAACGAGGATGTTGTCACTATGAGCGGAAGTGACGTACTAGGCCCGCTAGTACAGTTCGATACGAGACCTTCCGTCATAGCACCCGAAGACGTTGGCAGAGATGATGTTGTAGCTATAATCTTAGCCTCTTTCTTCATCTTTTGTTTCAAATGTACTTTAGCGTGACGTTTCTTTTCGTCACTTCTTGCAAATTTGCGTCCACAAACATCACATGAAAAGGGCTTTTCTCCGGTATGCGTGCGCACGTGTGTAGTCAAATGGTCACTTCGACTGAACGATCGCATGCATATCCGGCAGTGAAAAGGCTTCTGTCCGGTGTGAATGCGTATGTGGCGCGTGAGTTCATCGCTTCGCGAGAATCTCCTGTCGCAGTTCTCGACTGGGCAAGCATATGGTCTCTCATGAGGAGGTGTTTTACTAGGCCGGTTGGGGTACTTTCTTGGCTTAAGGGGAATCAACTTCAGCGCCCCCTGTTGGTAAGGCGTGTTGAGCACAGCCGGTAAAGATGGAGTAGGGGACACCGAAGCTGAAGGAGAAGCAAAGTCTGTTTGTGTAGGTGTCATCATAAAGTCACTTGGCAAGTCTGATAATGGCTCAGATTTGATGGGCACTTGTTGGAACCCGGTTTGGGTGAAGCCGGTAACACCGTGTGATGATACCTGACCAAGTGCAGAAAAGTCAGGCAACTGAGTCTGTGGTTGATTTGTGTTCATTTGTTGTTGTTGCTGTTGTTGTTGCTGTTGTTGGGGAGAATTTTGAACCGTCCATTTAAATTCGGCATTCATATTAATGTCTTTTGAATTGAGGTCCTCTGTAAAATGCAGTACGGTCTGTGGGATGCTTTGAGGAACATTTACCGACATCGATGACGTCACAGGGTAGTTGAGTTGCTGTGCACAAGAGTTAAACACCGGCTGTTGTTTCATTGGCATATTATTATAAGATGTCATCGCCGGGCGAGATGAGTAAGGCGGTGGTGGCGGTGTCGAGAAGTTCAGACTGGACGTGTCGACGGCGGCGAGAGATTCGCACATTTGGTGTTCGGGTGAACTCTGGTTGGAGCTAACGGGGGATCCGAAACCTGTCGAATATGTGTCAGTTTGATCCATCATCAGGTCGGCCGGTGTTGGGGACTCGGCGTGTGAGTGGTGGGAAGTGGTTGAAGGGGTCGGGCTAAACGAGCCATGTTGGCATTGAGCATTGGGGATGAATGAGTAATCTTGTCCAGTTCCCTGTGGTATTCCGGTCCCTACCTGGGCCTGAATCCCCTGTGTAGCCTGCGTCAGAATACTGAAGAGTGGGGACAGCGGCGTGAAGATGCTGGGCGTAATCCCCTGGGGCAGGGCGTCACTACTGCTAGATGTAGGCGTAACCGATGTTGTGACCAGTGTACCCTTGTACTGGATTCGGTGGGTGAGATTAGTGAAATTTGCCTGGTCATCCTGCTGTAGTGGTATCTGACTTCTAGCAAAAACGCCATCCTTCTCCGGTATGGTGATCTGTGCTTCGATATTAGCTGAAAAGACATAAATAGATCACCAATAAGTAAAAACGTTGCATAGAAGCATTTTTTAAAAAGTAAATTTCAAACGTGAAAATGTGGTAAATAAATAAGAAAAATTAATCCATAACCCCATTTTCTCTTTATAATTTTAAGATTGAGGTGTAATGGTATAAACAATGAAATTAATTATAAAAACAAATAAATATGTTGACATATCGATAACTAATCAATGAACAACATATATAGAAAAAAAATTAGAAAAAAATAATATATATATATATATTTTTTTTTAATTCAAAACAAATTAAATTAAATCCATTAAAACTAGATTATTAAACCCATCTATTTGTATTAAGTGCAGTTGTATTTATAAATACAAGTCTAATATAAAAGTAGAATCGTTATATATTGTATTATGAATAATTTATTCAAAGTGCGTGTACAAATGTCTATTACATTTGAATAATTAAAATATGAAAATTAGACAGGATCAATTCGCGTACGATATCTGTTGTGTATGAGGACATTGTCCATAATTGCCTGGGTCACGTATTACGCACGAGACTACTCGAGACCGATCTATGACGTAGGCTTGTAATGGATAGTTATCTCTGATTGCGGCTATTTATATGTAAGCCCCGCCCCCTCTGTGTCGGCTTTTGCCGAAACCGTGGGTGTCGAAACGTAAACACTGGTTCCACATGGTTCCTCGGTGGTGTACCAACCTCATCGACAATTCATAAGATGTACGAAACAATATTTGAGAGTATTTCACAAGAAAAACGTAAAAATATGGTTCGTATTGCTAATGAATGAATGTCGCAGTATGGCTCCAGGCCAAAGTGTTATCCGATATTCATGACGTCAATGGTGGCTGTTCAACATGAATGGGCTAAGAATAGACACAAGTCTAAATACGCTATGCGGGGTTACTATGCCGAGTGAATCGATACAGCTTTGAATCAATAACCTGACTGTATGAATGAAAATGTACAACTGAAAATCCGTTGAAATATACTTGAAACATATCTACATAGCATACCAGTAAAATAATTAGAAAATGTGCAAGTATATGATTATAAATGAGCATAGTAATAGCGGTAATATAGCATGTTGACGAACAGCTGATCGTGGTTATACCACGATTAATTTATAATACATACCGGTAGCTGTGATTGGTACGGGGCCCAATGGATCACATCCAAAGAATGTCACATCCGAACTACTGGTAACAGGTGTGTTGAGACAGTCATCAAATGATTCCGAGGGAAGTCGACTCCCTCCGAATGCTGAAGTGTCAAAACACAGGTTTGCTAGACTCATCTGGTCTGCTAGGGCTACCTGTGACAGTGTGTCCAAACCGTCCATAATCATTGTTTACTAATAACACCGTCCGTGTAAAACGTATGTCCAATATCCCTATGATGTGTTAACACTGTCCGACTACGGAGAGCTTAATAGTATCGTTGCTAAAATCATCTACACACCAGCATTGATCCTCGACTCGGCAAACTCTGAATGAACTTCACACCGGATCGTATTTATGAATGAAACCGTTTACGCTAGACTTCCCATATATGGGATACCACGTGATCTAAGTCATATACTAGAGCCAATCACGGCGCATGGAAGACTGGTTGCCGGGCAGCGTCTCCATGGCTCCCACTAACGTCAATGCCTACGTCATTCATAAATAATAGATAACCTTTACTATCAAATTTTACTATTAACTAGTAGGTCAGGCTAATTTAAGGTAAAAATAAAGATTTTTCAAAATCAACATTTTCGTGCTATATAGAACGTATCTAGATACAGAAGCTTGTCTAAAAATTTTGAAGAATCATTTCACATTTATCGAGAAAACCTTCGTAGTAAGTTGATGAATGGAGTGTGTGAATGAATTTCATAGTAGTAACCTTTGCCCTTCCGAGTCCACAATTGCCTTATATGGAGTAGAAGGACAAATTCCACGTGCTGACGTCAGAATCGTTATAGGAAGCTTGTTTGCCTTATATGGAGTTACGATCGTGTATCTCCGGTAATTGTCGTGATGTCGGAAACGGAACCTTGTTTGCCATTTAAGGATTTTTCCGTGTTGGCGGAGTTTTACGAAGTTTCCACTGGTCGTCCGAAGTTAAATTAGAATCGTGACGTACATTGCTGAACGAGCTGTTTAGATTTGGTGCTATTTCTGGCCATAGCACAGTAAATGTAGCTGAGCGCAGACACAAAAGGAATCAATTTAACAATGCGAAGTTCGTATATGTATCGAAGTGGCCAAAATTATATCAAATTGACCCATACATAGAACGTTGGTATCGATCTTTGGATGGGAGCTTCGGTGCAGAGGCACCAGGCGGGGTTTATATTTAACCGTATATTTATGTCTCTGGATCATTTGGACTATAATGCACATTAAATACAAAAGATATTATTTCTTAAAATATTCGCTGACCAAATATATCATTAATGTGTACATTTTGTAGGGAACACAAATTGTTTTGCAACAGAATGTAACAAAAATGTTTAGGAACAAAATGAAATATAAAAATACAAATATTTTGTAACAAAAAATAATATGTAATTTGTATTTATAAAAAAA